TGTGTAAGGAATCTATTCTGTAAACTGTCTCTAATAAAATCACATCTCTGCCTTTCACTTTGTAAGGCTATTTCTCAATTTGTGTCTCTGCTTTTTGTTTTTGATTGATTGCTCTTTGTCTTATTAATATGCTATCTGATTGTACTGTACTCTTACTATTTTCCTATGCCAAGTTGCCCACCAAGATTTTAATAAAAGTTTTAAACTTTAATTCTTTATGGTGAAGGCACTTCTCTGGAAATAGTTAAAGGGTTTTGGCATCATCAAAAAGGGGGAAATTGTAAGGAATATTTGTAATTAGATTTTGATGATGCTATATTAATTAGGACTTTAGAGTACCCCTCTTTAGACTTAATGTATTAGAATTTTCCGTGTAAAAGTTCTTTAGTATAATCGACTGGCAGAAGGCCTCCAGAGCAGAAGGCCTCCAGAGCAGAAGGCCTCCAGAGCAGAAGGCCTCTAGAACAGAAGACCCCCTGACAGAGGACCCTTGATAAGGCTTTGTTTTAACAGAAGACCTTTGGTTCTCTGCTCCAGAACAGAAGACCTCAGGGTCTCTGTTAGCCTTTACTCGGACAGAAACCCTCCTGGTTCTCTGTTGGATATTTCTTCAACAGAAGTGCTCAAGACCTTCTCTGATCAACTCTCTGCTAAAGACACCAGAAGGCCTGACACTTAGAAGAATCTCACCCAGCCGGTAAACCAACTGAAAGATTCCCTCAACGGCTAGGAGTCTTGAACGGAAAAGCTACAGTACGCGCATTAAATGCACATTTAATGCCTCCCGTACTCTGTAGAGTAAATGCAGATGATTGGCCGCAATGTCAGGATAGCTTTATCCCGAAATAGTAACCCGCCAACTTTGTCGGGTCCTACTGGTCAAGTCAACTGTTCGCTCATTTAATGCAGTTGTCCTCCTTGTCTTCCAACGGGAAGACAACCTCAGTATAAAAGATACACTACGAAGAACAACCGAACAACTTTGCTACAACTGTGCGCATACAAAACATTCAAACGCTAAAAACGCAAAAAGCCTCCTTGAGATTAAAATCTTCATTATCTTCTACAAGAGAAGGCAGACGTTGGAAAGCTTCCTAATTCCAACCCAAGCAAAGTTCTCATCGTTCTTCAACTCTTCAAGCACTTCATATACAAATCTTTTCTAACGAAGCAAGTTGGAGGAACCCCTGTTTTCAACCGAGCTGCATTCCCAAAACCCTTCACAGTTGGATACCAATTCACATATACTTCTTAGCTCAATTTAGACAAGCTCTTTCCTCATATTTTCTTCATATTTAGTCTCCAAATGAGGAGCTAAACTCTTCCATCTTGGTTTTGCTACTTTGAAGCTAAATGATTTGTAAGTTGTGAGTTATTTTCTTTAATCTCCTTCCTTGAATATTAATTAATTCCTATTCATATTTCATTTTAATATTTTGAGCATTACTTAAAGGATCAACTAGTTTTGTTTCATATATTAATTATTACTAGAATCAATCGATTAATACGCTTGTTATTAATTCGGTTCTTTCAACGGTAGTAAACTTGGATTATTAATGCATGCGTCTCATGGTTAATAATCTAAGGGGAATTAGTTATATTGATTACACCAATAAACCGCTTGTTTCATCTTTAGTTTATTGCTACTATCGAGTTAATATACGGCGTGTGTTCTATATTGACTTGGTAGTAAGTTTTATTAATGAACGCGTCTCGTTATTATGAACTACCCTCGATGAATTGGATATACTCCTCGATTGAGTATTCGAGGGGAAGATAGTTAAAGATATACTCGAGATCGACGAACATTTCATTAAGTGGATAAAAGCAAAGCCAAGTCCCCATTTCTATTAATTAAAATCATTTATGTCATTCAACTTAGTGTTTAAATACTTTAAAGATCATCAATCCATCTAACCCCCCATTACTAGTTACATAAAAGACAAATATTCCTTTCCCTGTGGATACAAACGAACCTTACTTCGTTATACTACGTATAATCGTTGTATTGTATTTATTTTGAGTGCACATCATGACAAAGTGCAAGTCAAATTTGGCACCGTTGTCGGGGATAAACCTGCAAAACCGTTAAGAAATAATAATATAGCTCGAGTCGCGTACGTAAACGTTGTCCTCAAGAAAGTATTTCCGACTAACGAAAACCTTTCCCCAAGATAAAACGAGCTCTTCGGCATAAGCCGGTAACAGAGCAACGAGGGTAGAATAATATATATTAATCCAGCATACAAGAAATATTTTGTGAGGGAGTTTTGATGACGGGTGAGTATATATTTTGATCACAGCTAGCAATTCTAAAACAAATGATGGATTATGCTTGTATGCTAAATCTTCTATATCTCTGGAGCACCACACAAACAAACACACACACACACACACACATATATACGGGAGGGATCACATACAAACTAGTCCTCCCATACTAACCTACAAACTGACACAAACTGTGCATTTTTACAGTATTTGTACTGCATATTGAAGTTCAAAGTATTGCATATTATTTTTATTGCATATTGAAGTTCAAAGTGTTGCACATTATTTGTATTGCATATTGAAGTTCACAGTGTGCATCTTTACATTATTTGTACTGCATATTGAAGCTCAAAATGTTGCATATTATTGAGTTTGTAGGTTAGTATTTTAAGCATGGTTTGTATTTGATCTCTTATATATATATATATATATATATATATATATATATATATATATATATATATATATGTTTTGGTTCAAATAAGAACATGATCTTAGGAGAGAAATGAGAACGAATCTGGACCGTTAGATTTGCTTTAAGTGAAATTCAATGTGCATTAGATGAAACTGTAATGTGCATTAGGTGAAATTGAAATGTGCAACACAAAGCGTACGATACAATGTCATTATGTAAAGCTTAATTGTGTATTAGGTGAAATTGAAATGTGCACTAGGTGAAACTGAAATGTGCAGAATAAAAGGTACGATGTGATGTTATTTTTGTACATTTTATTCCGCACATTTCAGTTTAACCTAATGCACAATTGAGTTTAAATTTTTATTCTGCAATTTTCAGTATATCTAATACACATTTCAGTTTCATCAAATGCACATTTCCGTTCCACATAATACAATTCAACGATCCAGATTCGTTCTTATTTCTCTCCTGGAACTCCGTTCTTACCGGAACTGCTCCCTATATATATACATATATATATATATATATATATATATATATATATGTATATATATACATATATATATATATATATATATATATACATATATATATATATATATGTACATACACATATATATACATATGTATATATATGTGTATGTACATATATACATATATATATATATATACATACATATATATATGTATATATATACATACATATATATATATGTATATATATACATATATATATATACATATGTATATATATACATATATATATACATATACATATATATATATATGTATATATATACATATATATATGTATATATATACATATATATATATATGTACATATATATATATATATATACATATACATATATATATATATAGATATAGACACACACACATACATATACATAATACACAAGTGCCGAACCTGGCATCTGAGCTAACGTTCATATATTAAATGAGACTAACGTTGGAGACTTGGAGCTCGGAAGATTATAAATACGGAGTATATATATTTTAATGATACTAAAAGCCAGCAGCAAAACAACTGTTATGGTAGCAAGTGTATTTTAGTTTTAATACACACAACGTGATTCAAAAGTAAGTACAAAACTTTATTTGCAAAATTGATATAATTAAACATGTTATCAAAATAAGTAAATTATTATTCATTTGAAATATTCCCAATTTTCCAACAACTTTTAACGGCTAATATCAGTACAAATATGGAATAGTATAGTTCAAAGTTTCCACAAAACCATTCATAGATACTCCTCAAAAACATTTATACTTCACGAAATGTTTTAGGGAGAGAGATAGAGTGAAAACACTTTCCCTTCACCACAAGTGTTAACTACATAATACTACGTATATGCTACGTTGTTGATTGCATGATCTGACCAAAATAATTATGGATGGCCTTTCTATAGATTTCTTCGTAACTGTGTGAGAGCAACAACCGACAATCAACAGATCAGATGCTTTATGGTGTTTGTGGTGTTAGTTTTTATCACTAGATTTCAATGTTAATGTAATATACTACCTCCGTCCCGTTGGAAGGTTCCCATAGCAAAACAACCAATAATGAAATGAGAACCTTCTAACGGGACAGAGGGAGTACAAATTTACCTTTTCAAAACATAGCTTATTAATTAGTTTCATTTAAAAAATAATACTTGGTACCACACAAATAAATATCGAACATTTTTATGCCATGCTTTAATTGGCTTAACCATATACTATCGCATGTGTCTAGAGAACATTTTACTAGTATAAAATATAGTGCATTATATATGCGATTTTCTAAGATCGTGTTTCGAGTTAATTGGTAGTGGCACAAGAAGTGAATTCAATTAACTACCGTTCAAGTAAGGCAAATTAAATCGAGAAGATGGCAACCAAAGTAATGAGGAGTATATAGATCGAAATGAAACAACAATTGTAAATTTGTATATATGAACTACCAATTTCAGTTTCACAGACGTAACATATACGATAGTACAATACAAAAAGGAAAAAGCATCAACAGAAAACAATGATCAAAACATATACGGAGTACATACTAGCTAGTATACTCTAACTAGCTACTGTACTTTTAAAAATATAGCAACAATTATGTACTGTAATTAATTAATTAACTACCAATATGAATTTCTCAAACACAGAAACTATAAGGATTAAGGAATACTAACAACTAAAGAATGTATACAGATCTAAGCATGAACGATCAAATTAAAGATATCATAATATATAAAAAAAATCAATCAATCATTTTAATTTCTTGAACGTAATAAAATACATCAAAGTTATAGCATTTGCTTCATGCGGTCATGCCCAAAGGCCCGCAATAAACCAACCCCGCAGATAGAGACCGTGTTAAGTTGTAATTACTAACTAATTAAGTGATTAGGGCACCGGCGTGCCAGGTCGGGCCAAACCCGGAGATGTACGCATGGATGGATCTACAAGACAACCAGGGATAACCATAGTTTGCGGTCAACTCGGACGGACCATATTTGGACCTTTGTACCTACGACGAGTCCAAAGCTGCCCTTAATTTCATTCCACTTGCCGGTCACCATTAATGACACGCTGGTTTTCCCGCTCTTCTTCGGCATCACCCATCTCCGAAAGTCAGCTTCCTGCTTTACGATTGCACCATTGACGGCCCCGATCAGTGACACTTTGAGTGAGCCCACATTCTTGCCATTGTTGTGGCGCGTGGCCAGCCTTTCCTCCTCTTCCGCCGTCAAGAAATCCGTCCGTCTCAATTGTTTCACAGGGAGGGCCAGCCGGTTTTGGCCGGGCTTCAAATCGGTCGTCGTTATCTTCTTTTCGATCAGCAGCATCTCCTCCGCTATTTCCGCGCCGGGGCCCGCAATTTGACGGATTCCGTCCCTGAATCTCCCCGGCATGGGCCCTGCCTCAACCGCCACCGGCTGCTGGTTCTCGTCGTCGACGACCCGCTTCTTGGCCGCCCTTTTCTTCTTATTTCCGGGACCTCCTCCAATTATTGACACTCTTTTGAAGCCGGAGAGGCCACATTTCAAGACGGAACCTGCGTCATGCCTTCTACTTCTATTAGGACGGCTCCTCTTCTTCCTCGGGATATATACCGATGTAGGAGAGGAGGAGGAGGAAGAAGATGAATTACTGTAAGGGGTTTTCTCCATCTGCTCCAAAACAGCCCCACAGACGGCGGCGAGGAGGTCCATATTGGAATAGCCCTCCCGCAGCTGAACGTACCCTCCGCCTGGAAGCGGCGAGAATATCATCTTCCCCGCCATGATCGACGATCAGTGATTGAATTAAGCTACAATACTGCACTTTAATTACTTCTTTTTATTTGTGACAGCGGACAAATGGTATGAAAAATCGGGAGATAGCAATGAAATATATATAGGGTTTGGAAATGATCATCTACTAAGCTTAGGGTTTCTTCGTAGAATTCCGTATTTATCGATTCTAGTCCGACTTGTTCTCTATTTTCATCGATTTTTTAGTTTCCAAAAACCAAAGCAATTAATTACAAACTAGTCATTACACTAGGTTGGGAAACTAGTTAGTTACTTAATTATTACACTACGATTTGGAATCTCCCAACTGATTTTCTGCCGATGGACTCCTTTCTTTTTGTCCAAGTATGGTCTATGGTCGATTATTTATCACCAACTTGTTTACAACGTCCCAATAAAAGTAAAATCATTTCCGAAGTTCCTAATAATTTTATTTATACATTAAAGAATGTATGACTTAAATAAAGAGTACAAAAACACAAAATCTTATACGGAGTAAATAACAAACGCGACATCTTATGGGTACTGTTATAATCATAACTTGATCATATCAATTAGGTCTAATTTTCACATTTAAGTAACCATAACACTTATTCATTATTAAGTAACATATTTTGTAAATAACTTTTATTTCTGTAATATTGAGAAAAAACATCTTGGTATATTATGAAGTGTATAATTTATTCCTCTCCGATGTATCAAAAAAATATCTTAAGTTATATACTAGCCACCATATGCGCGAAGCACGAAAATTTAAACTGAAAATAATTGCTACATACACCATATTGTAATATGGAGTATTATTTTTGCAAAAAAAAAAAAACTACTCTATGTGCATATCCTTTGTCACTCAAACTCTATGCACGGTCACTGGAACCCTGTCTACAGTTGCATGCATACATAAACTAATTTATCAAATGTATACATGCTAGTGATCTGATTGGCACAACAAAAAAACATGGGATTGACAGAAATTTTGGCAGAGATTTTGGCTGAGATATGATAAATCCGTCCCAAAAACACTTTGGCACGAGATATTTGGCACGAAAATTTGGTAAATCCGTGTCAAATTTTGTGTCAACCCTGTAATTTTTCTGTAGTGGGTTAAAGATTTTGATGTTATGGATGTAGTAGAATGCATGAGGTGTAAACCAGTTAGTGATTACTCACAAGTGAATACAGGAAGTGCTATGATTGTTTAATGGCCATGCATCACTACTAAAATATCACTAATTAGGATCCAAGTTTGTCACTCATCATAATAAAACTAAAACTATTGGTAATATTGCATTTTGTAACCTTAACTATTAAATAAATCAAAACGGTACCTTAATTATACATAAATGTTTCCAATTAAGATTTTATTCAAATTGTAACCAAAAAATCATTCATGACGATCAAAATTCCATGTGTAGAGTCACCCTATAGTGATCATATGGACAAAAATAAGGTGAAGGAGACTTTATGCATAAAATTTTGGCCGTCACATGTGATTTTTTTGTCAGAAATTTGAATAAAATCTCAATTCGAAACATTTATGTGCGTAGTTAAGTACCGTTTTGATTTGTTTAATTAAGAGTTAAGATACCAAATTGCAACATTACCAATAGTTAAGGTACCATTTGTGCATTTGCCCATGCTTTGTCGCTACATATGAGAGCGAGTAATTTACTAACTAGAATACATGAGAAATTTGGGTGACGTTTTATTTTATTACGGAGTAAAATTTTTTAATTTGCTGCTAAATCTAAGTAACTACTTAACTACGTACGAGTGTTAATCAATATTACTAAAACTTAATTTTCCATTAAAGATGTGTGAATTCAAATATATTACAACTAAAATGAAGTTAAAATTTGAATCCATAATACAAAATACTGCAAAATAGTGTTAGATTCATAATATGAAGTGATACAAAGAATCTTGCTACAAAGTGATTTAAAAATGATATTTCATCTGTCCCAAATTGTTTTGCAGTCAACATTTTCGGGTCAACCAATAAAAAAAGTCAATGCTCTCAATCGATAATTAATTCAATTTTTAATAATTAAATTTATATATTCAGAAAATACGATAAAATCTCTTCAAAGTTGTAAACTCCAAATTAAAATATAATTACAATTTGACATTCTAATTAAGTGAATAAAATGAAAATGTTTGACCAAGAAAAGTCAAATTTGCAAATCAATTTGAGACGAAGGTAGTATATTCTTGATACAAAGTGATAATTAAGACGGGGAAAATTGGCAGAGCAGACAATTCCTTTGCTATCATGTTCTTCAAAGGCCTCTCCGATAACCGTTTGAATTGATCGAGCTTCTACTGCCACCGATAGGCCACCAGACAATTGTCGGAGCATCGTTGGCCGCCTCTACATTCGCTGATTACCAGCCGTAGCACTGTACATCTGGTCGCCGCTGTCATTGCAAATCTAGATCGCCACCACCACGGCACCATCGGACTTATCTCGCGATCAACGGGCTGACCTTGGTTATGAACGGGAGCTAGCGAGGGACTTTTTGAAATAAAAGTCCTATTTAGGAATAAAAATATACCTACTTCTATTTAGGAATGTAAGCACTAATTTACTCTTATTTAACGCAATTACTCTTGTTTAATTTACTGACAAAAATTAAGTGAGGATCGAGAATTGTGATGTCTTTACTTGAACTTATTTCTGTCTCAGATCTGATCATATTAGACTAAACCAGACTTAAACAAACTGGATCAGATTTAAATAGATCGGATCAAACTTCGGTGGTTATAAAATATAAAATATGCATAGAGCAGACATTTAATAGACCAATCAGGCCAAATCAGATTTAAACAGACCATATACTTACGTATTAGATTAGAGCAAAAAAAATTAAGTCCAACTAAATGCTCATACATTATTAATACGTCATAGTGACTAAAGTGATAGTTTCAAGCTCCTCGCAAACCAAATTTGAAATTAGCCTTAGCCTTTGATGATAATAAAAGATTGAAAATTTTCTAAATTTCTCGATATCAATTAGTATGTTTATTGCAATTAATAATGTAATCCAGATTATTTGCATGAAGTCCTAGTAATACGGAGTAGTTATTTTAACATTGTAGTTTTTTTCATTCAAAAAAAAAACTGTAGATTCTTTATTTTCTCCCACGTTTACAACTTTGAATTTGGAGTATTACCACTAGGCTACAATGTTGAGTTGTTACCGTGAAACAAATTTGAAGTATTTACTTAAAATTGATCGCAAATAATAATATGTGAGAATATTGGATACAATCTCTAAGAGTTTTTGTCACTTTTGGTCCCCCGAGTATTGTGTCAGTGACACTTTTGGTACACGGCTTTTAATTTTTCCATTTTTAGTCCTCGACTATTGTTCGTGAGACACTTTTAGTCATCTACTTTCAAGTTTCCCACATTTAGTCCTTTGAGTATTATCAAATTGACACTTTTAGTCCTTCTACTATGATTTTGACACAATAAGTGGAGGACTAAAAATGTCTCTATAGCAATAGTTGAAGGACCAAAAGTGTCACTTCTACAAAAGTCGAAGGACTAAATACGGAAATTTTCAAAGACGGATATCAAAAGTGTCTCTCGCACAATAGTCGAGGACTAAAAGTGGAAAAATTAAAAGTCGAGTACCAAAAGTGTCACTGACACAATAGTCGAGGGACTAAAAGTGGCAAAAACTCCAATCTCTAAATATGAATCCTCTGATTCTTCACTTGCAATTTGAAATAAATATAATTAAAGAAATTAATTCAAAATTAAATCTTTAGTTCTTCAAATATTCGAAGGTTCGTCAGATCTTCAAATCTTCGAACCTTCGTTCTTCGAATCTTCAAACCTTCAAATAAAGTTTTGTTCTTTGAATCTTCGAATCTTCGTTCTTTGAATCTTCAAATATTCTTGAATTAAGAATTCAGCTTGAAGGGCCTCCGGTTTTCAAGTGGCTTGATCTTCAACAAAAGAGCCGTTTTGTGGCTTGATCTTCTATTTAAGGGTCTCACGGGATATGTGGCTTGATTTTCAATTGAATCTTGATTCAATCTTAATATGAATATCTTCAAATCTTCAAAGATTCATTCTTCATATCTTCAAATCATCAAAGTCTTGTTCTTCAGATCTTCGAATCTTCAAGCTTCGTTCTTCAGATTTTCGAACGTTCTTCAACTTTTAGATTTATTTTATTAATAATCGACGAAATCACGAAGGATTATTCGTATATTCTTAATAAAATTGGTGGCTTGATCTATTCATCTTCTTCGGAATCGTTCAGAGCCTTTTCGGGAGTTCTTGAGAGCTTTTCTGCAGCGTTTCTTCGTCTGAAAATTCTCCCTCTTTTTTCTCTCAATTGAGACCCCTATTTATAGGTGTGGAGGGGTGAAAATATGCTTTAGGGTTTGGTAAATTCGTCCATACCCCTTGGGCCCTGATTAAAATGGGCCTTGGGCTCCATTTGCTTGTATTAATAGCTAGAAAAATCAGCACTTATGCAATGTATCTGGACAGTTTCTTTAACAAGGTTCATAGCTATTTTCCATGCATACGGACGGATTTCTTAACCAGAATCGTTGCTCTCTTTATCAATTAGATCATATTTCTTATCTATTGGGCCGTTACTTGATTAACAGGTCAAAAATGAGGAAATTAATAGGATCGATCCATTCTTTCCAAAGAAATAATGAGGAAATTAATTGGATATTAAAATGATCCGAATTAATTAATTATATTCAAATTGATCCATATTAATATTTTCTCTTTTTTTTATAAGGCCCACGAATCATTATGAGCAGCCCCGTAGAATCTGACGTTGACCCAATAAGATGTAAAATAGCGCAGTGACATTTAAAAGAGCTCAATCTCTACCACACTTGGCCCAATAATTTTTAAATGTCCACAAATGCCCCCTCGAGACTTGCTTGAATGTACCGATTTAACCACGTACAGGTGAGTCTCGAAAACTGATTATATTGACCCATCAAAATCAGTCCAATTTTGCACAAGATATCAAATCAATGGGCAAGATTCGTACAACTCATTGATTTAGAATTCTATGAGGTCTGTAATAGACTTCAATTGTAACTCATACTCAAACATTAGCTGGGACATATCAACTCGTACGGAACATTACGAAAAATTATAGGAGATTCCAAATTCTCCTCCACTCTTAAGAACTTCTCTTCTATTAGGACTTTAACTCTGCCTGATGTTGGGATCCAAACTCTTAATCACAGTGTATAAATATCAACCCAGCTGGCTCTCTTTCACATCTTTAATTTTATTTGCCGTAGTTTGCAAAGCTGGATTAAAATCCCCGAAGACATAGAGCAATAGGTAAATCTCCCCTCTTTAGCATTCTTTCTTAAGAAATTATATTAAATGGGATTAAAACATGGTTAAAACTCTAAAATAGGACTTCAAGTTTTAAATTGCCTAAATAGGACTAAAGATTACATTTTTACCCCTCATTAACCTAACCCTCTGCAATCGATCGCCAATTTCATCTTCCTCTAAGCCATTCATCTTCCGCGATTCTTTACTCCACCATGGCCGCACTCCGCCATCGATCGTAGCCTCATAACACCATAGCTCCGCCTTCGACGACCTCTGCTGCAATAGCCAAGACAGGTATGTACTCTTCTTCTTCCTCCCCCTCCTCCTCCTCCTCCTCCTCCTCCTCCTCCTCCTCCTCCTCTTCTTCTTCTTCTTCTTCTTCCTAGTTTTCTGCTTTTTTTTTAGTTTTTTATCAATCAAATTTTAAATAAAATTTTGATTTTTGAAAGTTCCAAATGAAGATATATCTGAACTTGAATTTCTTGTTATCAATTTTGATTAATTTGATTCTCAAAATGCTATGACTAATTATTCCAGAAAATGCCACTTTTGAATAGTAGAATGTCATTATTATTGGGTATTTTAAAAAAATGTCACTTTTATGTCATTACGGTATTTGAAAATGTCATATTGAGAATGCCATTTCTCTATACGAAATTGTCATTATTGTGTCATTGTGCATATTAAGTGGCATTCTCGCATATGAAGTGTCATTCCTCATGGAGGTATGCATTGACTCACTTCAGGGCAAATCTTTGTTGGAGAGTGATGGCAGCGTACTAGCTGAGTGGTGGCGGTGGTGGCAGACTTCATGGATGGTGGCAGAGGTGCCAATGGTGGAGGCGTCGACTCCAAACATGCGCATACGGCACACTTGCGCAACAAAGGGAAGGGGAAACCTGCGCAGAAAGGGGAAGGGGAAACATGCGCAGCAGAGACCTGGTGTGCGTAATTTTTTCATTAGGGATATTTTCGGCAGTTTAGTTCTTTTTAGTCCTATTTTTGTCCAATAAAACATAGTAGTCCTGTTTTTACCATTATGCATTCTTTTAGTCTTCTTTCTTTATCCGGTTGTTTTCTTTCATTGTTTTGCAGGGGATATATCATGCAAAAACCTCTATCATTGATTGCTTGGTTCGTTCACCCAAGGCGAAGGAGATAACTGATGGTGTTACTGGCGCTTTGTTCATCGCAAAAGACCGGCGGCCACTACACATCATTAGTCCCGTCAAAAATTGAGGAGGCTTGGCGGGGAGGAGCTACCGTCGCCGGCCAGAGTTATTGAGCGGAGATTCGTGGTCAATTAACTGTTCTTGGTGCTGCGTCTGATTCGATGAAGAAGCTGATTGGCCGCTGCTCCTAATTCTACTGCTTTTGTTCGTTCAGTGCAGAATCCAATTGCTGGATTATCACTCCTTTGCTTTGTGCGCATTCGACCGGCTGAGGTGTAGCTTCCATCGCCAGAGAAGATAATGGGAGATGAGTTGAAGCCGCTGCTTGTTTGCTGAATCAGATGATGAGGCTGAACCAGTTCGTTGTGAAGAAGGTTGCTGACTCATTTTTTAATTTCCGGCGAAGAAGTAAATTGGAGCATGGATGGTGCTGATTCGGGCTTATGTCCGCCGTCAGAGAAGAAGGTCTGGCCGAGTTTCGTTGATGAGAGGAAGAGATTCGTGATTCAATGCTACAGTAGCTTTGGCCAGAGGAAAGAGACGGTCAACTGTTTGCTCGTGCGAATAAATTGAACGGCATTGGGCCAGCTTTTAATTTTTAATAAATTGAGCCTTTGGGCCTATTTTAAGCTTTGAGCTTTTCCATGAATTCGGGTAATCCTAAGATCGCGACGATGCCCTGTTTTCTGCTATTTCAATTGATTTAATCACACCACTTATTGAAGAGAAAGGAGCTAGGCCTATTGTCTGTGGTCGGTGCTGCTTAGGGCCCTTCGTTGGGTTAGTGGCACCGATCAAAAGAATTAGTTCGATTGCCGGTCATCGGTGTCGCTTGGGGCCTTTTGTTGAGCTAGTCGCACCGATCTAAAGAATTAGGCCGATTGTCGGTCATTGGTGTCGCTTGGGGCCCTTCGTTGGGCTAGTGGCACCGATATAAAGAATTAGGCCGATTGTCGGTCGCCGGTGTCGCTTGGGGCCCTTCGTTGGGTTAGTGGTACCAATCTAAAGAATTGATCCGATTGCCGGTCATCAGTGTCGCTTGGGGCCCTTCGTTGGGTTCGTGGCACCGATCTAAAGAATTGGTCCGATTGCCGGTCATCGATGTCGCTTGGGGCCCTTCGTTGGGCTAGTGGCACCGATCTAAAGAATTAGTCTGATTGCACCTGTTGAAGACTGAGATGTTCCTGCTACTTTCGACCTTTGTCCATTCTGAAGGAGCTTGACTAATTATTGGCCAATGTTACTGATTTCTTTTGTTTGTCTAGTCAGAAGATGAAGCCAATCGTTCGGGCTTGAGATTGATTATCATCGCTGAGCGGCCCTTTTTATTATTATTACTACTATTATTATTATTACTTTAGTTTATTATTTTTTTATATAGTAATAATACTAATAATGATGATGATGATGATGATGATGATGATTTTTTTTTTCGCAGTCCAAAATGATATATTTTAAGGACGTAACGCGTGGAGGCAAAAAGTATCTCTCAATATCAACGAGCAAGAAGAATGATGAAGAGATTCTTTTGGAGATGCACAATCCATTTGCTCGCGAGTTTTGGGGTCCAACGGTTGTGTCCTATCGAGTTACAAAATGGACTCCTGAGTGCGAGTATCAAGCTCAGACAATGCGGACTTTAGTATCTGGCTTTACTCACATGTCCTCTTCTAAGATTCTTCCTTCTTTGGGTAGACGTATCCTTGATGAAAACATCCTTTTGAAAAAGACCTTATCATTTGGTGGTGAGTTTAGATTCATCACAGGTTATTGGGACTGGGCCAAGGATATTTTGGGCATGAGTAAAAGCGTTCTGGAGGAAGGGCTTATTTATGATGTTGTTTATGCCTCATTATTCACGTATGACCGATGTACTAATGCTATTCAAGCATTTTGTGAGGCATGGTGTCCCACGACGAATACTTTGCTTACGTCAATTGGCGAATTGACGATCACACCTTGGTACTTGCACGTTATCAGAGGATTGCCTATCATAGGAGACGCATATGATGAATCTATTCTGGGCACTTCTGAGTTGTTAAATACGAGCGCTGACCGTTCATTTCATCTCTGCAAATATTTGTTTCACGCATATCATCATCTCTTTCCCAAGGCCGGAGATAAGCGTGTTTTGCGTGTTCATGCGTGGGTCAAATTCTGGTTCAGAAAGGCCTCCAAGTATACTATGCCTCCAGTGAGAACAGAAAAGAAACGAACATCTCGTGCTAAGGCGACCCATAATCCGAGCGGAGCTATTCCAAAATTTGGAGGATGGTCGAATTCTATGAAGGTACCATTCCACGTACTCAAGGTTCCTGCTGAATATGAGGAAGAGGTATATTTAGCGGCATTTATATCGTGTTGGCTTTGTGCATTTGTATTGCCGCATGAAGGTCCTAGAGTTATCCGCCCGGAAACATTCAGAGTTGCTTGTATGTTGGCTCGAGGGAAACGTGTATGTCTTGCGGTCCCGGTTCTTGCAAGTGTCTATCATGGGCTTAATCGGATCTCGAATGCTCCAGCTCCTGATCAGGTTAGAACGTGTTTTCCCGTTCACTATGTCTATGGATGGTTGGCATCATACTTTGATACGCATTTTAAGAATGAGATCCAGTCCACGACGCCATTAATGATTTCTTATTCGGGAGAAAGTGGAGCGAGATCCCTCGAGAAGAGAAGTGCGCGCAAATGAATTTTCCAGGGAGATGTATCAGCATGGGTGTGTTCTACACATCGGAGAATCAAAGAATATTCGTTCTTCGATGGTAAAAATCCTCCAGAGGCTGAGTTGGCGCTTTTTAGGAGTCTTCGGTCTAATTATCTTGTATTACGCTACCGGGATCATTGCATTGCCGAGCCTTACACTCCTCACTGCTTTAGTTGCCAATTTGGGTATTTTCAGGCTTATGCTTCTGGCTTTCTTGAGATGCGTAATCGAAGTGTCACACTTGCTGCTGGCTTTCAGCTTTGGCTATAGTTTGAGCACGGCATGTCACAAGCTGAAGCGGTATTTCTGACTCCTCCTACTATTCCAGCGAAATATTATTCATTGCAGTATAAAGAATGGTGGGGTCAAGTCCATGGAAGTTACTTGGAGAATCATGTGAGCGACTTGATCAAGATTTGCGATCTTGCGGTTGGTGATGTGATCACCCCTTCAGATCCTGTGACTCCAATCTCCAAGAAGAAGAAAATGCTTGATACTGAAGCTAAGTCTTTGCCTCAGAAAAAGGCTAAGCTTGTAGCACCTAGGGATGAAGTTTTGCTTAAGGATGCTGAGAAGGAAATGTCTCCTGTCAATGAAAGGCAGAGTAGTGATGAGAGGAACTGGAAGCATTTTAGGAAACCTCATGTTGGGCCACTGAAGGTTAGTTTCATCATTTCATAGTTTTATTTTAAGTGTGTACTTATATTTTTTTTCTTTTTGCAGATTCATGCAGTCTTTGATGATGCTAGTTCCTCGAATCACGTTTCTTCATCTAGCTCAAGTGAAGGAGAAAGTGAAGATCATGACACCGTCGCTGGATTGATAGCAGAAACCGGCCCAAGTCATTGCAAAGAAGTTCCGATCCATGAAATATCCAAGTCTTCTCATGCGAAACCGGCTGTATCTGTATTCCATGCAGAAGACTACTTCTTTACTTTGTATAAGCAGTTCATCATTAATACTTGGAGTGGCATTCCACAAAAGTTAGGATGGGCTACAGCACAGAACGTCTCATCTCTTCGGGAGAGTGTTGAGAATTGTGTTATCTTGATGGAGAAGGAGGGCATTGACCTTTCCATGCTGAAGACGAGAGTGAAGCATTTCTTTGAAAGGGCACAAGCATTTGATCAGACGTGCTCGACTGCTACTGATAGGGTTCCTTCTGAGAAACAATCTCAGGAATGGGCTATGTCGCAGGCTTTTGTGAAGATATTCAAGCTAAGAGATCTCAAAACCAAGTGGCATTACTTGATAATGAGAAATCTCTTAATGATATCAAGAAGAAGATAGCCTTATTGGAAGCTGAAGCTAAGGAAGTAGAAGTTTTGATCTCCAAGCGTCGTGTAGAGGCTAGTGACTTAGACGCATTTCTTACGAAGGCTACGGAGGAATCTTCACGGATTTTGAAGACTATCAAAGCATCAGATGAGGATCAATTTGCTTTAAGTACTCAGAAGAAGGAGCTAGAGGCCTTGAAGGATGACTTAGTTAGCTTTAAATTGTTTTTAGGCTGATACTTAGCTCTTAGATTAGCTTTTAGTCAGCAAACAACTCTTTTCCTTACTTCTTACCAAACTATATATGGATATTTGCTTCCTTTGTTGCTTCTCATGAGTTGATATTGCCTTGCTTCTTCTTCTGTTTTCTCTTTCTTTCTCTTTTTTTTTCTTTTTTCAAAGTGAATGAGATTAAACTTTATTGAGGGTTTGTGTTGTTATAACTGAACTCAAAAATGAAACTTTTGAGCTGCCTACATACTCCTATGAAGGAGATCAAGTCAAACGTAGTTCATAAGTACCATTTGAATTGGTAATCTATAGGAGGGGACCGTACACAGTTTTAACTCATGCAGGCCAGGAGCTTGCCGTACACATTTTAAACTCTCGTGGGCCAAGAGCTCGCCGTACACATTTTAAACTCTCGTGGGCCAAGAGTATCTATGATTATGCTCACCCATAGACAAAGTGAGATGTTTTAGCAGTTTAGCCACTTACAACATCATTGCTAGGTTTAAGCCATTCAACATTTCTTATGGCCATATCCATACCCCAAATATCAAGGGTAGTAGAGCTTTAAAAATCTTCCACTGATTGGGCCAATCTTTGAGCGATCTCCATCGACCAACTTGTAGGCACCGCCTGAATATACTTCTTGAATAACATAAGGACCATCCCATTTAGGTGAGAATTCGTGCCCCGTTTTTCGTGTGATAATAATAGGTCTTCTCACAGCTAGAACTTTATCGCCAACTTGGAACGAGCGAATTCTAACCCTTTTGTTGAATGATTTCGATAGACGAGCCTGATAGCATTCTAGGTTCTGCTGAGCTTCTAACCTCTTTTCATCAAGTGCTTCGAGTTCTGTCAACTGCAACTTGACGTTTTCTTCATCAGTGAGTCCTTCTTGAATGGCCAATCTCAGAGATGGTATTTGGCGCTCAAGGGGAAGGACTGCTTCGGTACCATACACCAAAGAATATGGAGTGCTTTGAGTAGGTGTTCGATAAGTCGTTCTATATGCCCATAATGCTTCTTTCATTCTTTCATGCCAATCCCTCTTTGATTTTGACACTACTTTCTTCAACAGGTTGCATAGAGTCTTGTTAAAAGCCTCAGCGAGGCCATTGGCGGCATCATAGTACATAGAGGACTTCCGTTGATTGAAATCAAATAACTTGCATATCTTGTCCATCAACATGTTTTCAAAAGGTTTCCCATTATCCGTCAAGATATATCAGGGAATACCAAAGCGGTAGATGATATGAACTCGGATGAAATCAGCAACATTTTCCTTCTTCACCTCTTTCAATGCAACTGTTTCGGCCCATTTCGAGAAGTAATCAGTAGCGGCTAGTATGTATGAATGCCCTCCTGATGAGCTAGGCGTGATTGGCCCAACCACGTCAAGTCCCCAAGCGTCAAATGGCCATGATGCTACTGTCGGATGCAAAGGCTCCGGTGCTTGATGGATGAAATTTGCGTGATATTGGCATGCTTGACATCTTCTAGCATAGTCCATGCAATCTTTTACCATGGTCAGCCAATAATATCCCATCCTTTTGATATGAAAGTGCAGCTTAGGACCGGACTGATGAGCTCCACATACTCCTGAATGTGCTTCTTCCATTGCTTGTAAGACTTCATCTCCACCCAAACACCTAAGGAATACACCATCGAATGATCTTCGATAAAGTGTATCTTTATAATAAATGAAATGCGGTGAACGTCTCTTCAAGTCTACTTTCTTGCGGGGATTTTCAGGTAATTTCCCATCAGTGAGATAATCAATGAGCGGCTGCCTCCAATCTTCATTTTCAATATCATAAACCGAGGTAGTTGGCATCTCGACTATCTCTTCGGCTGCAACATCGTCTCCAATGAATGGAGGAATTACCCATTTTTGACATACTCGTACTTGAGTTCCATCGTCAAGGTGTGCCATGTTCGATGCTAACCCTGCCAGTGCATCGGTTTGCTTTTTTATCCTTTATTGGCACGTGTTCAATTGTAACTTCGCTCAGTCATCCTATGAGTGCCCTTGAATATTTGATGTAAGGATGCAGTTCAGGTTTCCTTACTTCATAAATTTCAAGCACTTGATTGATGATTAATTTTGAATCGCCATAGATATTAACTCGTGTTTGCTTCATGTCTACAGCTATTTCAAGTCCGAGAATGAGTGCTTGATATTCAGCGACGTTATTGGAGCATTGTTCCGTAAGCGTGAAAGCATATGACAGAACTTGACCTTCGAGTGTAACAAAGACCACACCAGCTCCAGCACCTTCTCTGTGTGCAGCTCCATAGAAATACATCTTCCATGGAGGCAAAACTTCAATTATGAGCACATCTTCATCAGGTAGATCATCAGAAAGTTCCCACTCAGCAGGGATAGGGTGATCGGCTAGGAAATCTGTCAAAGCTTGTCCTTTACAGATTTTTGTGAGACATAAACAATCTCAAACTGTTGAAATATCAAGTACCACCTAGCAAGACGATCAGATAGAACCACTTTGGACATCACATATTTCAGCGGATTTGCTCTGGAGACAAGATTTATCGTGTGAGCTTCAAAGTAGTGTTTAAGCTTCTTGATTGCAAATATAAGGGCCAAACACAATTTCTCAATGGGCAAGTACTTCAACTCGTGTGGGGTCATCATTCTGCTTAAATAATAAAGGGCATTCTCCTTCCCTTTATCATTTTCTTGAGTTAATAGAGCTCCCACAGACCTTTCTTGAGCAGCAATGTAAAGTATCAAAGGGTGGCCAGAGATAGGTGCATTTAGGACCGGTGGTTTCATCAAATAAGCCTTGATATTTTCAAACGCATTCTTACACGTTTGGTCCCATATGAAAGGCACATCCTTCTTCATAATTTGACTAAATGGTTGACATCTTCCAGATAAGTTCGAGATGAACCTCCGTATGTAAGCCAATTTTCCTTGCAAACTCTTCAACTCATGAATATTTCGAGGCTGCGGCATATTCACAATAGCGTCGATCTTGGCTTGTTCTATCTCAATGCCTTTGTGACGGACAATAAACCCCAATAATTTCCCAGCCAAAACTCCGAAAGCACACTTCAGAGGGTTCATTTTGAGACCAAACTTCCTCAAGCGATCAAATACTACTCTTAAGTGTGATAGATGATCGCCTCGGGATTTTGACTGCACTATGAGGTCGTCAACATAGCACTCCACGATTTTGTGAAGGATATCATCAAATATTGCCTGCATAGCTCGTTGATAAGTAGCTCCTTGCTTTCCTAAGTCCAAATGGCATGACCGTGTAGTAATAGATCCCCTTAGGAGTTCGGAAGGCAGTCAATTCTTCATCTGCGGGAGCCATCCGGATTTGATTATAACCTGAGAAACCATCCATAAAAGACATAATTTCATGCCCGGTCACAACATCTATCATTAATTCAATGATTGGAAGTGGAAAATCATCTTTTGGACAAACAAGGTTAAGATCCCGAAAATCAACACATATTCGGATTTGTCCATTTTTTTTTGACCGGGACAATGTTGGATATCCAAGTAGGATATTTCACTTCTCGAATGAATCCGGCCTCAATAAGTTTATCAACCTCTGCTTCAATTAATGGAATTAAATCTGGGCGGAAGCGCCTTTGAGCTTGCTTTACTGGTCGGCATTCTTTCTTTATCGCTAAGTGATGAACAGCGATTTTTGGATCCAACCCCGACATTTCTTTGTATGTCCATGCAAAGACATCCTTGTATTCTTGGAGTAAGGCCACATATTCTTCTTTTTCTTCGCTCGATAGAAGAGCACTGATATAAATGGGACGAGGGTCCTCTTCGGTGCCAAGATTTACCTCCTTTAGTTCATCCAAGGCTGTTCGCATTCCTTCTTCAAATTCCGGAGGAGCTTCATCAGCATCTTCACCTTCGACCGGGATTTCATCACCAAAGGTAATATGGTATAATGAGGCAATGTATTCCTCGTCATCAATCAGTTCATCATATTTGAACTTATTATCTGTCGGCATTCGAGTATGAATAATTGTTTTCAACTGTACTTTAAGAGTTTCTCCGCATGAGACTTGCACAACAGTTTCTCGCCTCATTCGGGATGGAATCAAACTTCTATATTCATTCAAATCTTGTGTTTTTGTATATTTGTTGAGAGACTTCTTGCATGAGCGAACTTTCCCCAACCTTTCATGTACCGGCTTTCTCTCAAAGTTTTGCCCACTACATGGGTCTTCCATGTGCTTTACCATGAAGGGGATCATTCCAAGCCTTTATTGTAAAGTTTTCTTCATGGTCTTCTTTGGCTTTGGCCCCATTCTATCAAAGATGGCGGGTTTTGATTTTGCCCCCCCCCCCCCCCCAATCCGATAAAAAACGGAATACTTCGGTTTAGAAGTCACCTCATCTTCTTCATCTGCACTGATATGATGCGTTGTGGCTCTATTTATGAGGATTCTTATGGGTCAGAAGTTTGTATGCATTTGGGTCAAATCCTTC